GCAATTTGCAAACATGTTTCACATGTCTTAATTCATCCACTAACATCAACTTCTCTTTACCTACCTTTTAACTTTAATCTTGCTTTCCACTTCAATCTTGCTTTTCTTTCAGCTCTCTCCATGTTTTTAATTAATTACATTTTGCAAGAGATTATGTTCATTTTGTTCACCCATGTTCTCAAATGACTATATATGTGTATTAAATTAATCTTGATGCATCCATTTAGAATTATTTTTCGTTTACTGTTTGTTATTTTTTCAGTTGAACTTGTGCCATATTAAGTCGATAAAGAAATACATAATTTAATCTATAGTTAATTGTGTGATCAAAAAACTAATTAATATTAGATAGATGGTGTATAATTGAAATAAACAGAAATTAGTTTTATATATTCCCTGGTTATGAAGATAAATAAATTGAAACGTATTCCGTAATGCGTAAGAAAAAATCAAGGAATCCACTCACACACTCATTTACGATTTATGAATGGACTTTCTATTTATGGAAACTATATTAAACCATACGGCTCCAAACCCCACATGGCACAACCATTGCATGTGGCCAAACTTTTCACAAATCACAAACCTAAAAGTCAAGTTCAATTTATTTTATATTGATAGTTTCAAACGCCTCGTTTTAATTTGAAAGACAAAACGCTAATGCATTTCAATATATGATTGAACCCTTCTTTTTTTTTGTCACAGATTGAACCCAATTTATAAAAATATATTTACATTCTACAAAAATTGCATACGATAGGTCTCTCTAAATTATAAACACACCTCAGACAACCAAATTAATTAATTACATATGCGTTACTCAATATACCTCCTTAGGCACTTAATTTATGTAAATACTTTTTTCCCTCGTATTAAAAACATGAGCACGTGAACAAATTAGCAGATATTTATTTTTTTCGTGCAAATTCTTTTTTATAGCACGTTCTTATATATAGTTTACATGCAAAGTAGCAAAGTATTTCTATCTTGACTTCCATAAATCGACCAAAAGTAAGAATCTTTACGCAGAGAGTAGATATCATCATGAAGAGTTGCAGCTTAGATCTATGCCTATCTCCAATGACCTCTACGCTTCAATCTTGTCGCCGAGATTCTACGTGAGTTTTCATATATTCAAATAATCCAACCTCTCTCTTTTATTCAAAACCTCTTAATTAATAATTATAACGAGGTGATCAAAATGATTTAATAGGGTACTTAGTGTTCGATCTTCAACCATAAGATCATCCGAGGAAGCCAATGAATTCTATAATGGGAGATTACGCGAGTACGATCTCGTAGAGATTCAGGTACAATTTCTATCTTCTTGTATATATGTTGTTTAGTTTTTTCGTTTTTCATCACATATAGAATTTGATATTGATGATGAGTGAAAAACATACATGAAGATAAGGGCAATAATAGAGATGGCGAGTAAGGAACGTGAAGTAACGGCGTTAGAGTTAGCGCCGGTGAGAATGGAATCGCCGTTAGGTTTTTCAGTGAAGAGATCCGTGAAGATGTTTCTGG